TGTCTAGATTGGTTGTTTTGTTTTTACTTAAATTTGTTTTGGGGAGTTAAAAAGTAGCGACATTTTGGGTCAACGGATTTGTAAAACAAGTAATGTAAAAATCTTGCTTCAGCTACTTTGGTGAAAAGGTCAGTATAAATTTATCAGTGTTTATGTGCTGTGTGATAGAGCAGCTACTGGTTCTTAAAGTCACTTGTATCATTCAGGAAAGCGAATCATTGTCTTAATTCAGGATGATCCTGACAGATACATCATTATTATAACAAGTTACCAATCCATAACATGCATGAAACTTGTTGGTGAAGATACATGGTAAAATGTGCACATAATGCTTGGTACATGTATAGACCAGTATAGATCTTGACATGACATGTGTTGTAATCTTACGTTTTTAGGTTATGACAGGTTGGTATGAGCACTAACTTAACCAAAAATGACTACACTTTCCTTCTGGTAATACGATATATATTATGCATTGTATTGCCTGTTTATTGAGTATGTTAAGTGGTCCTGTAGTTGTCAGTACATGTCTGTATTGGTAGGTGTACCTGCACCCTTAGTTGTTTTGCTCTCCCCTTGTGATGCTGATTGTTACAAGTTTGAACATAATGATACAAATGTCTTCATTCTGTATAATGTACAAGTGTATTCTATATGGCTCAACATGTCATGAAAATAAAAACACACATTTCTACTTGTTCCTTTATGTCGTTGTGTGAGAACATGTGTGGGACTTTGTGGTTCAGCCATCAAGGCGATTGACATCACTACTGGCATTCACAAAGGAATGGATTCTTTGGAAACTAGTATGGGGATTTTCTGAACATCGACAGGTGTAAATAATTGGTGCTTAAACGAACCAGTAGTTGGGGTGATAGCATGATCAACATCACCCCAGGGCACCAAGTCAAACAGCCTGATCCCAATGTTTGTCAACTCTTGGGACACGATTCTAGGGAGCTTTTTGACCGGGAATGTGATGAGACTACACTAGAGTGGCTGACGAGTTCTGAGCCGAGCCTAACTACGGAGGATTTATAGTTCACCCTTAACAGTTTGCATGTATTAAGTACAATTCATTCCAAGCTCACAGGGCGGTCGGGTAGCCTAGTGGTTAAAGCGTTCGCTCGTCATGCCGAAGACCCGGGTTCAATTCCCGACATGGGTACAATGTGTGAAGCCAATTTCTGGTGTCCCCCTCCGTGATATTGCTGGAATATTGCTAAAAGCGGCGTAAAACCAAACTCACCCACTCACTCCAAGCTCAGCCTGCATTTGAACACAACCTGGTATAAAAATGACTGGGTATTCTCTGTTGATGAAAATGGGCAAAATTGACTACCTCGCTGTCATCAAGTATCTCCAACTACTAATAGCTAACTCCAACTGCCCTTCAAAACAGGCATGGTGTCAAGTTTAGGGGATGATGTTCCTTCCTTTGCCACTAATATGGGCTGGGCAGCGGAGTTAAAGAGGGGAAGAGAGAGCCTGGAAGATGATCCAAGAGCAGGAAGACATTCAACTGCCATCACTAAGGAAACTGTTGATGAAATACATGATGTGATTATGGATGATTGATGACTCACCACAAGTCACATAGTCAATAGAGAGTTTAGAGAACTGGGCATGAGAACGTTTCAGCACGCTTGGTTCAACAGCTTCTGACTCCTGAACGTCATCTGGTGAGAATTTACGTTGTTTTGTAGTAGTCCCAGCTGGTCCTTTTAGCGTTTTTGTAACCATGGATAAGTCTTGGATTCATACCTATTCGCAAGGGAAAAGTTAAAGGAACATCATGAATAACGTCTCCGCTGAAGAAGACAAAGTCTGTTCTTTCAACTGGCAAGGTGATGGCTTCGGTTTTCTGGGATTTTAAGGAATCCTACTGGTGGACTGCAAGCCGCAAGGTCAGACCCTTTTTGGCTAATATTATTACAATGCACCCGTGCACAAGTGTTTAGTCGCCAAGGATGCAATGCATGACTTTGACATCCTCAGTATTCACCAGATTTGGCAGCAACGTATTTTCAACTGTTCCCGAAATGCTGCCAAGAGCTTCATGTCAAGTATTATGCATATGATGACTTTTCTGCCAGGCGTGACATTTTACATCATCTGTAGTAGGCCTCTGCACCAGTGGGATCCAGGCACTCCAGCATCGTTGGCAAATGTGTGTGGGATTCGGATGGGATTATGTTTAAAAATAATTTGCAACCAACACGTTCAACGCAGTCCAGCAAAGTTTGGCTCAGAAGTTTTGAGCCAGTCCTCACAACGCTACAAGCTGACAAAGTCATCTCTCTGACCCCCTCCGACCCATTGTCCAGTCTTAAAAACCATGTTATATGCAATCAAACATGACATTGTAACAGTTTGTCCACCTGCTTGTGGAAGAGGTTGAATACAAGAGCTGCTGTATAACAACTCCATAAACCTTTGTACACACTTTGGTAAGAACAATGACCCGATAACAGCCTCAGACTGATATTGTACAAAGTTTCATGGAGAAGTAGATAACAGAACTGAGGTAAAATTCTTATGATTTCTTCCAGTCTAAATTTATTAAATGTATATAAAAAATGTTAAACATTATAATTAGGGGAATCATATATAGCAAAAAGGCACATCTACACTATATTGTGAACGTGTGACCAAGTTTTTTAAAGATATCTTGTGTGAAGCTCATTTCTGGTGTCCCCTGCTGTGATATTGCTAAAAGTGGCGTAAAACCATACTCACTCACTCACTTTAAGATAATCTCTTAAATAATGTTCCAGTTCTGCTCCGGAAATGTGAAACCCACTACTTTCAATCACTTAGGGACTATGTCCAAATATTTAAAAAAATATATAAAATAAAAGACAAATTCAGAGGAATCATATAAAATAGCAAAAGCCCCATCTGCACTATATGGTGATTGTATGTACCAAGTTTCATAAAGATGTCTAATAGTTTTCGAGTTTTGCTCCGGAAATGAGACCCACTGCTTCCATTCAGTTTAGAGACAGAAGTCAAAAATTCAGAAATTGATATAAATTATATTAAAAATGCAGGGGGAACCTAAATAGCAAAAGGCACATCTACACCTTATGTTTTTAAAGTTCTCTTTTATTGTTTCCGAGTTCTGCCTCCGAAACGAAACGGGACGAACGGACGTAGCCCGTTTCTCTATCCCCCGCCAACTTCGTTGAGACAGGGGATTAAAGTATATCCATTGTCAACTGGTTCCCAGAGTTGAAGAGTGACATCTGACTCCTAAATCATGGCAACGTTATTTTAGGTAATGCTGCAACTCGGTTGTCTTTAGATGCAAGGATTCACTGATCCTGGGTTTGAATCCCACATTTTACTCGATTAGGAGCCTTGGTGTATCAGCACCATACTGTTTGTCATGTGTCTGAAACTCCGGTTAAGCTGCCACGCTGCGATAATTACTGCTAAAAATGAACAAGACTTGGGCCAATTCGTAGTCCAAGAAGTATTTAAGTTGTCACAACAAAAACGCATTGTTAGACTTATAAATATGGAAGTATAATGTTTTGATGTATATCAGTGAAGCAGTTATTTGTAACCTTAATTACACAGAGATAACGTCTAGACCTTGACGAAAGGAGCAACACCGTGGAGTACAGTCCCTATATTTGAGGTGAGGTGGAATTGGGTTTAACGTCGCGTCTAAGATTATTGCACTTATATAGCGACGTCCCTATATTTGAAAGCATCAATCTCCCCAAAGGCGTGCTGAGGTACATATGGCTCTATGGGCGACTACTTTCTTACTGCCCCCTTTGAGATCCGGGTTAGAATAGCCCGCTAACCGGTGCTTAGTCGTTAGAGGCTTGGTTGATCGCATTTCATCGTACCCCGACGTCGTGGATCGTTGCTCACAATATCTATCACTGGATTGTCTGGCCCAGATTTGATTATTCAAAGGTCGTTATATAGCTGGAATATTGCTGAATGCAGGCTAAACAACAAACATACAAATCTTTATTAGCCTGCGGCGCTCTTCAGCGGATAATGGTAATAAGTGGGAATCGACCCTTCAAGGTTTGTTTGTTTGTTTGTTGTTTAACGCTGCACTCAGCAAAATTCCCTCTATATGACGGCGCTCTGTAAATAATCGAGTCTGGACCAGACAATCCAGTGATTGACATCATGAGCATCGATCTAAGCAATTGGGATACGATGACACATCAACCAAGTCAGTGAACCTGACCACCCGATCCCGTTAGTGGCTTCAAAAGACAAGCTTAGTCGCCTCTTACAGCTAGCATGGGTTGTTGAAGACCTATTCTCTACCCGGATCTTCACGGGCCGACCCATCAAGGCCATTGATTACGGGTGGTAATACCCATATCATTGTCTATCAAAGCAATCATCTACATTTTGTTGTAGATGCACTATTGAGAAGTATATCCATGTAACACACAGCTGTTAAATTAATCAAGTTGTCAATCTACACATTCTTCAAGTTGTAGGAACCTGTCGTGCTCCTGGTGCAAAATAGGTGTTCAGCACTTGACATGCTTTTTATGTAAGAACTGACGAGTCACATCACAATGTGTAACATACACATGACATGCATCAACCAAGTGAGCGAGCCTGACCACCCGATCCAGACCCGTGAAGATTCCGGGGTAGAATAGGTCTTCAGCAACCCATGCTTGCCGTAAAGGGTGACTATGCTTGTCGTAAAAGGCAGGATCGTGTGGCCAGGTTCGCTGACTTGGTTGATGCATGATCCCAATTGCGTGGATCGATGCCCATGATATTAATCACTGGATTGTCTGGTCCAGACTCGATTATTTACAGACCGCCGTCATATAGCTGGAATATTGCTGAGTGCGGCGTTAAACAACAAACCAACCAACCAACCAACCAACCCCCCGATCCCGTTAGTCGCCTCTTACACGCATAATCGCCTTTTAAGGCAAGCATGGGTTACTGAAGACCTATTCTAACCCGGATCTTCATGGGTACCTTCAAGAAGTACCAAGTATGTTCAGAGTATTTTATTCAGTAACGCATCCATATGTGAAAGTTGATTTGCAGATCTCCTGACCAGTCCGGTCCAATCACAGTCTCTTCCTGACCAGTCCGGGCCAATCACAGTCTCATCCTGACCAGTCCGGACCAATCAGTCTCTTCCTGACTTGACCGGGCCCAGTCACAATCTTCTTGGCAAGCCTGAGCATCTGAATGAAAATATGAATAAAAAGACAATCAGTTTATGTCAATCAACCGATACCAGACAAAAACAACCAACAGACATGTGGACCGTTTTGACCAAATCGGGCAGTCTGTTTTGACAGCGCCCCAATCAGCAAAGCATCTCACAACAGTTGTAAGTTTGAGGCTCTATATTTCAATAAAAAGCGTTGAATGAGATTAACATGAAGGCGTATTGGTAGCATAGCTTCCCCATTGTAGTTAAATGCATTTACTATCCGAACGAAAATAAATATTATCTGATTTGACAGCTGTCTGCAGCGGCTATGAGAAACTGTCAAATGCATCGGAGTCAAGCCCTAGGCACACCAATCTTCCCGAGGCAAGAGAGTTAACTGACTTTAAAAGTCCAGTTTCCACCCTTCCATGAACTAGGCTGGAATTCCTGGGCTCGATCGTAGCGCCACCAGTGGCAATTACGAGTTATGTCGTTTCTATGCCTCTCCTATTGACCAATCAGATTCAACCTCTCGTATCACTTGCATTTGCTTCAAACAAAACGGTGGCGCCCAGTCAAGACGATCTGATCGATAATCAAGATCTATATTGTGATAAAACGAGTCTTACATCGCGAAGGGCATCAAATCACGTGAGCACCTTGATTAAAAACATGAAAAGATTTGGAAAATATCTGTTGACAACGAGTTAGCGGTGCACATGCTTTGCAAATCCTGCAGTCGACCGAAATCTGCATGACACTTTATGAACCGGAATTCGATTTCGGTGCGCGATTTTGATTGGACTATGCATAGACTCGTTAGTCCAGCCAAAATGTAACTCCATAATACCAGCCTAGTTCGGCAACGGTGGAAACTGGACTTTTATAGTCAGTTAACTCACTTGCCTCGGGAAGATGAGTCACACCGGGCTTGCGACTATGTTACGACCTAACTGCGGCCGAAAAATGTTTGAATATTTAACACGGGGTATTCCGAACGACATTTACGGGTTTTATGATTATATCCATACAATCTAGGCCATCTATAAGTCATTCCAGAATGTTGTTTTTGGTCAGTTTTAATTTTTTTAAATCGTGAAACACGTCAAAATAGGTTTCGAAACGTAGTCGCCAGTTTGAAACTAGTGCCGTAAAGCTCGAGATAGCTGCCTTCTGATTGGCAAATGTCGATTTCTTGTCAGTCATTTCATTGGTCGGTCAATGTTTGCGAAAGGTCGTTCCGACGTGACCCATAATGGGATGTCCTCAGATCTTTGGTTAGCGGTAGCGAAAACTAAGATCTGATTTTAATGAGATTGGAGCGAAGCATTCAGAGCAGCATTTCTGATTTCTGTATCTTGAAAGTGAACTTAAACGCATAGTTCCGAATGTATAGTAGAGCACGCGCCTTTATAAAGCTTTTTTACATACCCTGTTGTTTCTGAGCGCCATGGCATCTACACCAAAAGGGATATTTGTGTTCTGTGTGGGTTTCCCTTTGTTAAAAAAGAATTTCCGAATTATAGGTTGTCAGAGTTCACCTGACGCGATAGTATCTGATTTTTAAGATTTGATTTTAATGAGATCGTTCACATTGTGCCCATGTAGGGAATCGAACCTGAGCTTTCAGTGTGACGAACGAAAGCGTTAACAACAAGGCTACCTAACCGTCCCCCATGTTATCGGAACACCAGCATTGTTAGCATGTGAAATAAGGAGGGCAGGTTGCCTAATTCTTGAGTAGTATAATATCTTTACACAGGCTATTTTGTTGTGTAGTGCCTGTGTTCTATTTGAGGCCACGAGCGGCAATACCGCCTAAGACACCTCATTTCATCGTGATATAACTGAAATACTGTTCAAATCGACTTTAAATCCAAATCACTCACTTATACGAGGCGGTGGGGTAGCCTAGTGGTTAAAGCGTTCGCTCGTCACGCCGAAGGCCCAGGTTCGATTCCCGACATGGGTATAATGCGTGAAGCCCATTTCTGGTGTCCACCGTCGTGATATTGCTGGAATATTGCTAACAGCGGCGTAAAACTATACTCACTCACTACACGTTTCAATCTTGTAGGTGAGGTGAAATGTGTTTTTACATCGCGTTTAAGATTGTACTCGGGACGTGTGCGTGCGTGTGTGCGTGTGTGCGTGCGTGCGTGAGCGCGCGCGTGTGTGTGTCAGTGAGGGTTCAAAGCCTGGACGTGTCACACGTTGTGGTCCTGCTCGCCGTTTGTTTACATGTCGGTTAAATACTATTTACGAACACTGGAACAAGGAATGTCATTGATGTTGTGGCTGGATGTTGTTTACACGGTCGTGGTACGGGTGTCTCGATGTCCACCTGTATCTCACCAGATAAAGGGAGCCTTTCCTGCTGTACGAGTATACAACTGTAACATACTACACTCAGTGTTCTCTAGTCGTTATGCTTTGGAGGCTACATGCCATTTAGGAGTACATCAAAAAGTACCAAGTATCAGTTGTTACAAAGAGATAAGTTTCCTCAGTCTGTGTTATTTCAAATCTAACCTAATAAGGGGCGGTGTGGTAGCCTAGTGGTTAAAGCGTTCGCTCGTCTCGCCGAAGGTCCGGGTTCGATTCCCCCACATGGGTGCAATATGTGAAGCCCATTTCTGGTGTCCCCCGCCTTGGTATTGCTGGAATATTGCTTAAAGCGGCGTAAAACCACACTCACTCACTCACTCACTCTAACATATAGGGTCCTACGTGTTCAACAAAAGTTATAGTTTTCATCATTTTCTATTGCTTTAGTTTTACCTCTTTTTCTTCACTTTTCGTGTTTTGGTTTTCTTCACTTTACCTAGCTTTGTTTGCTTGTTGTTCAACGCCTCGCTGCATCGATCTGCGGATCTGGGATACGATGACATGCGTCAACAAAGTCAGCGACCCTGACCATCTGATCCCGTTAGTCACCTCGTACGACAAGCATGGTTGCTTTGGACGAATTCAAACTCAGATCTTCACGGGACTTTAACCTAACTGTTCTTCAAGAATCCTATACCGGCACTGTATACGTTTCGCAAACCAATAACGAATACCAATTCACGACTGTGTGTTCAGGACTTCCACATAGGCGTAAGAAAGTGGTAGCGGTAAGACCGCTTTGTGGGTTTTGACCGTGAACCAATGGTCCCCTTTCCACGATATTTCCATCTACGATAGCAAGTCCTAGTCTTTAACATAGAAGGATGGTATGTTTGACAAATCATAAATTTGATAACGGTCGTTATTACATATTGCCTTGAACAAGACAGAGAGAAACGTTGTTGTAGGTCATTATACGTACCTTATTTCATGGTCATACGGCTAACAATCATGTCCAGTTTTGTCTTCTGTTTTCATGTCTCCCACGTCTAGGTCGTCTGCTTCATCTTTTGCATCAATGCAGGCGAGTCCTTGATCCGTGAGCATGCCGTCTACCTCCAGAATGACCTTGTCGATCTCCACCCCGTAGAAGTCTGCTTCAGGGACCTCTAGAGTGAGAGTGTGCTCACCCGAGGGCAGGTTTATCTCATCTCCGACAGGACCACTCTCGCTGAGGGTGTTCCACAACTCACCCCAGTTAGAATTGTCATTAGTGCTAAAGTTACCGATAGGTTTGTCGTTTATTTTGATAACAATTGTGTCCAGCCAGCCGTCATTAGCCCAGAAGATATTCCTGATCTTGACGAAAGCTTCAACATCTAGACAAAACTTCATTGTCACACTTTCTCCCTTTTTAAGCCACAGGTTTCGGTCGTTTTGGGAAATTGTTCTTGACATGACTCTTGACATGTCGTCTTCCACTTTGAGCGTCTCAGCGAATTCGTCTGCTTCCAAAAAATAGGGAGCAGACGACGCTGTGTAGAAAAAGGCCAAAAAAGCAGCACCCCGTAACAAAACCATAGCTGCCATTTTAGTTCGTTTCAGTTCAAGGAGCGTCCCTTGTAAAAATATATGAGCACTTGGTTTTAGAGCTGAACACCTCGGAATGGACACAGAAATGGACATGGAGCCTATTTGTAGTCACTAACTGATACACCCATTGGCCATCCCGTGTGGAAGTATTCCGGCTTTGTTTGCTGACTCAGTTTTTCATTAACGTTGTTCGACCTGAACTTTTGTTTCGGCATCTTTATCATAACTTAAGAGTTTACTGTGTAGGTAGTATCAAAACGTGTGTAGAAAATAGGGGTGGCTAGAATTACATTTACATTTCAGCCGCGACAGCAGACATTCCCCTGGTGACCTTGTGTTGACTTACGATTTGCCTTTTAATGACGGCGCTAAAACATGGCGTGGGTTCTGTGACTGGAGACATGTTGTAAATAACATCGATGACATGAGATTCATTACTTTGTGGATTGGTCGAGCAATCTACTATTGTCGTGGGTGATCATTAATGTATAAATATTCAAAATCCATATGACGTTTTAATGACGTTTTTTTTCAATTCGATAGCCTACATACAGGTAAAGATCGTTTTTTTCGACATTTATAACTTGATCCTAATTCCAAATGTCTAGAACCCTGGTTAACGATAAACGGATCCTGCAGGCATTAATGATAAGAGAAGTACCTGTCGCCTTCTGTCCCGGGAAAAAGGGAGCGCCTAAGGGAATTAAAACAATCAGCGTACTGCTTGCTTCACGAGTATATTTGACTGATGTAGATTATTATCCCCCGCAACGAAGTGGAAGGGGAATGTAGGAAAATGTGCTGTGCGTCCGTGCGTCCGTGCGTCCGACGCGTTTATTTTCCGGAACATAACTAGGAAACCGTTTAAGATGTGATTGTGAGTCTTTGCATATGTATCAAACACATGCTGAACTGGTGCCTTTTAATGTGGTGTTGCTTCTAAAAAAATAGTTTGGTGTTACAATGACAACAAACCGGAAAACGTGTGGCATTCGTTTCCGGATCATAACTCGGAAAACGTTAAAGATCTTATTATGAAACATTGCTTATGTATCAAACACATCATGAACTTGTGCCTCTTTAGTTTTCTTGGCAACAAGTTGTACATATCCCAAAAAATGTTACTTTCGTGACCACAACGTAAGTTAAAAACCAGATGGGTTGTAGCGTTCATTTCTGGAGCATATCTCCTTAATTATTAAAATATATTATCCTTGAAACTTTATACCCATGCTTATTAACAGAGTTCGAAATTGTCATGCTATTTTTGATTTTCCACAGAATGATCTTCGCAGGGTTCTTTCTAAACCGTTACCATAATAACTGATTTGAGATGTATAACACTTCACAAAGGAACTTGTACAAGGTAGATGGTGAATGGTGAAGAAAAACACAAACCACAATTTACAAGTGGCACCCGAACCAGTCTAATTCCTCGCAAGGGGATTAATAATTCTTTTGGTGCTTGCAATTAGGCCATTCACAAAAGGTTCCAGTGAACTTGACAAGCCTGAGTTAAAAAAGATGCCGTAATGTTTTTTCTGGGGTTACTCTCCATTTCCCCGTGTATATTCACTACTGTATGAACAGACAAAAGCCTAGTGTGCCCCATGGCCCGGATAATGATAACGCTGTTATCTTGTTCTTCTAATTAGTAGTTTGTTCATCCTCGATTATCAAATGTATAACATATCTCCATTCTATAATGTTAAATACCCTGAACTCTTTCGCCGACGTAGTTTTGTTTCGGAAATGACGTCACCATCTCGATCTCACATTAGACCAACTTGGCACAGTTTTTGTCTCGCTCGTGGACTGGAGTTCAGCAACCAGTCAAATGACTTCTGAACGAGAGTTCGAACGAGCCCCAATATTATATATTCCGACAAGAACATCGTTATAATTGAAATTTTAGCTGGAACATATATATACAGACACAAAATAAGGGAACTAGTGATTTGAATGTACATTCACAATACCGTGACGTTGCATTTGATCGCATCATCTTATCATAATGAACAGCTCGTGATGCACGTGCACACAGAAGCCAAAGTGCGTGCGCACAATCACAAATGCAAATAAGGTCAGCACATCTAAAAATGGCCCCGAGACAGTGTCTCAGTGAACAGGCAAAATTGCGAATTCTGTGGTGTGGGGTGTAGACGTCAATACCCCAAGTTGCCCGAATGTTCGCCAAATCAAAAAGTGTTATTTCTCGACTTTTTGGACAAGTGTCGTCAAACGGTTGTAATGTGATCTATGGATTGCACTACGCATTAGATTCAAAGCTACTCCTATAATCAATAGCGAATTCCGTACAATAACACGAAGACGAAGTTCAACAGCCACCTTTAAATAGGTGAAGGGTAACAGCTTGCCACATGTGGGCGGCAAAGATTGGGGTGGGCGAGGCAACACCAGGGACGGGCTGTGCGCTAAATGCGTTACACCATGTTTTAATACAGACGAATTAAGGTTTTGCCTCCGATTCAGAGATGGCAGAAAACGTCTTTGGCGACGTAGCGGCGAGCATAATGCCAGGGCAAAATGTTTTGACTATGATCGGTAGTGATATGGTGTGGGCGGTATCCCACATGACAGGCGAACTGATTTGGTTATTGTGAATGGACATTTGACTGGCCAGCGATGTGTTGACGAAATTGTGCGTCCTGTCGTTCAATTCGCTTTAATCATCGGCAGAAATGTTGAACTGCAAGACGACAATGCCAGAGCACATCATGCCCAGGTCGTCACCGATTTTCTCCGACAAAAAGGCACACTGACATTGGACAGGCCCACTAAGTCCCCTGACATGCCCCAAACAAAGCATCTGTGGGATGTTCTCGGACGGAGGGTGTACGCCAGACCCAGCACCCGCTAACATGGCCCAGCTTGGGGTAGGTCTTCGGGCGGAATGGCTGGCAATACCAAGGGCAGCGTTATGCAAGTTAATCAACAGTACATGCCAACAAGGTGTCATGCATGTATCGCCCAACGTGGTGGAATCACCAGTAATTGATCTACCCGCCTGATATTAATTACAGATTTTTATCGTCATTACACCGTCACTATCATTTCCAGATTTCCCGTATTTTCTGTCGGTAGTATATCTATTTTATGTTTTCCTAATTAGTAATGCAGAAAGTCTTTATGTTACCATGGGTTCTCCATTGAGGTTTTAAACGCTACCCAAGGCGAGGCGAGTAGTGATGATGAGTTCATCTTCCCGAGGCAAGAGAGTAAACTGACTATAAAAGTCCAGTTTCCACCCTTGCCGAACTAGGCCGGTCTTATGGAGTTACATTTTGGCTGGACTATAGTGTCTATGCATAATCCAATCAAAATCGCGCACCGAAATCGAAATCCGGTTCATAAACGGTCATGCAGATTTCGGTCGATTGAAGCATTTGCAAAACATGTGCACCGCCAACTCGTTGTCAGCAGATGTTTTTCAAATCTTTTCATGTTTTTAATCAAGGTGCTCACGTGATTTAATGCATTTCGCGATGTAAGACCCGTTTTATCACAATATAGATCTTGATTATCGATCTGATCGTCCTGACTGGGCGCCAACATTTTGTGTGAAGCAAACGCAAGTGATACGAGAGATTTGAGGAATTTGATTGGTCCATAGGAGAGGCTTAGAAGGGACATAACTGGTAATAGCCACTGGTGGCGCTACGATCGAGCCCATTAATTCCAGCCTAGTTCGGCAAGGGTTGAAACTGGACTTTTAAAGTCAGTTAACTCTCTTGCTTCGGAAGATGTGTTCAGCGTTGTGTCATTGGAAACGGACTCAAAACGGAGCTGTGTTAACAAATGGGTCCTGTGGATTCTCATTATAATTGAATGAAGATATAATACACCGTTTCGGTGGTCTAGTGGATAAAGCGTCTGCCCGATGGTTCGATGCCCTGGCCGCGTTATACCAAAATACATTAAAATATGGTACTTGTTGATAACCTGCCTGGCGCTCGACATTGAGAATAAAACAAGGACTGGTCTGATCGGGGTCAGTATCACGTGTATGAGTGTTGTATCCATATTAAACTATGGCATGGTATCTCAGTGGGCTTGCAGTATACAACCGTCGCTATGTAAGTGCAATAATCTTGAACGCGACGTTAATCCCATCTCAGGGGGCACGGGTGGCCCAGTCGTCTAAGGCGCCGCGATTCGCTGTGCAGAGTTGCGACCCTTGGGCACGCCAGAAACCTATGATTGTGGGTTCGAATCCCGGTTCGCCCCGATTATGTTTCTAGGCGAGTTTGTCAGCACCATACCCGTGCTCGTGGGTTTCCCCGAAGTGGTAAACGTCTGAGACCTGCATCACTTCGGGCTTTCCTCCCACATTAAGCTGACACGCCGCGATATAACTGGAATACTGTTTAAAGCGGCGTAAAACCCAACTCACTCACTCACTAATCCCATTTCGCCTCACTAATACACTGGATAGCGAGGATGTAGTCTGTTCTGATGAACAACTAATGTAACGTGTTACCTTCATTGCACTGATAATAGCTGTTATTATTTCTACTGAATATATCAACGCCACGAGGAACATATTGAATGTAATGATACATATATTAGACAGACAGTTACGTCCTCTGATGAACGCACATTTACAACAACCAGCGTACATTTGAACACGGATATAACGAACTGCGAATACAAGGCTCAGGAGAAATCAGTTCGTAACATACGTTGTATACACGTTTTCTCTCGGAAACATCCTCCATCTTGGATAAAAGAAAACACGATAATTGTAGCACTGACATATATTAGCAGTGATCACTTCATAACATTTCGACCTGTGAAAATCCGGGTTAGAATTTGTCTTCAACATCCCACGAGGCGACTGTGCTTGTCGAAAGAGGCCACAAACGGGATCGGGTGGTCAGGCTCGCATGACTTGGTTGATGCATGTCATGTTATAAAAATTCCGTAGATCGATGCTCATGATGTCAATCACTGGATTGTCTGGTCCAGACTGGAATATGGCTGGAATATTGCTGAGTGCAACAAACAAACAGACAAACATTATCTGAATCGGCTCGGCTAATTCCCTCACGCTAATCAACAATTGACTGTAATACTTGTCGTGTGTTAAAAGGCTTAATTGTACTTAGGGCCAATAGGTCGTCAGTCAGGTTTGGAAAATACGAAAACAGCTACATGTATCATACGAACTACAGTTGTCATGAACAAGAACCAGCCCTTACTACGAAAATATATCTTAAAATGTGTTATGGAACATAGATAAGTTTTGTTTGTTTTTTGTTTAACGCTGCGCTCAGCAATATTCCAGCTATATGACGGCGGCCTGAAAATGATCGAGTACGGACCAGACAAACCTGTGGTTGATATTATGAACAACACCCAACACCGTTGATGTACGATGATCAATCAATCTAGCTCCTGCGAATAAGATTTGTATTATAACCTGGAAAAGCACGGGAGGGAAACAAATTGTGTTAAATAAGCCTTTAGAAGATTAAAAATTCCTTTCTGAAAACAAGTTTTTTTTGCGTAAAATCCCTTTTTAAAAACTCTGTGGTTACAGAAGAAAGTAATGTGATTGTCGCGTGGTGAATGTTTTGAGGCATTGTTTGTTCGGAAAAAAAGGAAAGAATTCGTAACATTTAGGTCGTGGTAAAAGTGACTGTGTTGACAAGAATTGTTAACTCGATCCTCATACCATCTGCACAGCGCCGTAACATTAGCTTTGCAAGTTGGCTTGTGCACGAAATGAGAGTGGCCTCCCATTGTATATTTACACATGCGCATTGACACGTCGAGTGCCAATATGGCTACCGTCGTGTTGGCATTCGGCATGTAACAAGAAGTTTCATTCAAGATGTCAGTGGCATGCAAACTAATTATAACAAGTAGAAAGTAAAGAATATCATCAGAAACAATAAATGCAGATGCGACTGATGTAAGCAACATGTCATGGCTAGGCGGAAGCATATCCTCTCTAACAGGCCAGATTTCCAACTTGACAAAAGATATCTTGACAGAAGGAACTGAGGAAGTTAGCGGTATGTGTTGGATGATGTATCTGTTTATGCATCTTTTGTTTACCATTAAACTTTCAACTCATATGCATAAAATAGTGATAAAATAGATTGCATATTGAAATGGGTTTTTAAAAAAAAGAAGAAGAAATATATAGGGTACATACATTCTATAAAGGTATGTTTGTGTTCCGGTAGAAAGTGTAAGACCATATAGATCAGTTTGATTCATGCTCAAAATGTTGTCTCTACAGAAAAAAATAATTATATTTGCTTGTGAACCCATACTACCATGAGTGTTTTTTCCAAGATACTATCTATCAATTGACTTGTGAAGTATATTGAATGCAATATCATGCTTAAAAACGTTTAGGGGTCATGATTAACAGATGATTGTCTGGTTTTGGTTTGTTGTGATAGTTTTTATCTTAGAGCACAAATGAAGCCTAAATACCTGTGAAGATCAGGGTTAGAATTGGTCTACAATGACCCATGCTTATCATAAGAGGCAATCAACGGGATAGGTGGTCAGACTCATTGACTTGTTGATACATGTCATCATATTCCAGTTGTGTAGGTCGATGGTCATGATGTCAATCACTGGGTTGTCTGGTCCAGACTGAATTATCACTGTCTGCTGTCATATAACTGGAATATTGCTGAATGCGGCATAAACAACAAACAAACAACAAATGATGCATAAATGTTTCACTGCATCTTCATATATTCATGCGACGTAATGAGTATGATGATATCTGTGATCATATGTTGGAGCAACTTTAGAATGAAACGCTACAATTTCTCATGAAGACAACTTAAACCTGTGACCTTTTGATTGTCATTCCAACAAACTTACTGACAAAGCTGTGTCCACAAAGTTACAATTACCCGGTCATGATTAGGGTATTGTGGGTATGGTAGATTTGCATATTAACATGGTGCCATGCATGCACGTTTCACATTTCATTGGTAGTAGTATGTATCACCACTTCTCGTTTTCTGTGTGTTCTATAACCTGACATTTATCTTGTTCGGAATGACATGATGGGTCATGATATGTAGTTTTAGCACTGCCTGTCATTTGACATCACACATCTCTTTCCATAATCTACAAGATCATGAGTGGCCAGGAAGGCGCTGAATTTGGAAATAGCTCTCAACAGTAGATGCTGAGTTCACAAGCAGTGAAAGGATATTTATGAATTTGTTGGAGGGTTTTGTGACAAAAAGGTCTTGAAGGGTACACTGTCAGGATAATCACTGATAGAATTTGGCCCTAGTTGTATAGTCCTTGCCAAACTGCCCAATAGTTAAGATTTCATAAGGGCTGGTAGATATTTGTCATTTTTAAGGGTTTTGCTTCATGTTATCATTATAAGGACTAGTGGACCAAAAATGATAGTTTCTTTCACTGATAATGTGGATTTTAGTGAGGAACAAGGATGCCTACTATCTGAATCATATCTTTTGATTTGGCGTGCACGTTCCTTGACACTTTCCTTTTGAGGACGTATGGTAGATCTGGAAATTAAATTGTCTCCAAATTAATACGACTGCTGACCCCAAGCCAAAAATGTGACTCGATATAATGCGACTCCCCCCATCCCATCCCAAGTGGAATGAAACATATCCTTACCTTAACAATGCTTAATCCAACCTTACCTGACCCGTGAAGATTCTGGGGTAGAATAGGTCTTCAGCAACCCGTGCTTGCCTTAAAAGATGACTCTGCTTGTCGTAAAAGGCGACTAATGGGATCGGGTGGTCAGGCTCACTGACTTGGTTGATGCATGTCATCGATCCCAATTGCGTGGATTGATGCTCATGATATTAATCACTGGATTGTCTGGTCCAGACTTGATTGTTAACAGACTGCCTTCATATAGCTGGAATATTGCTGAGTGTGGCATTAAACAACAAAGCAACCAACCAATCCAACCTAACCATAGCCTAATCAAACAGCAAATAGCACTGCTTATTAGCACTGAGTAGAGCACTTCCGTAAAACAACAATAAGTAGTGTTTTCCTAAAAATAACACACAGTTTATATGTTTACTCTGTTGGCTGGCATTAAGGAAGTTCAAAAGCAATAAGATAATTGAACCAACAACAGTTCACTGATTGGTATGCGGAGAAGGTGTCAAGAAGCTTGACACGAGTGGGTAGAACTCTTGATCCCAGCAGTGATAACTCACGGGATCCCGATTGTGTAGTTCCTATTATTTGAATGACATTATTATATATTTGCTACAACTACTGCTCAATAAACTGTGTTTGTGTATATATTTAAGTTGGTATTTCCGCTATCCAAAGTGTGCAGTGAGGCCGTGTTATTGTTGATAGTCATTTTGGAATCATAAATGCAGAGTTAATTTATGCGAGCAAAGACCACTAACATTTTTCGCATTTATTTCACATTCGCGTTAATTTCAAGATTTACAGTATTTGATACCAAACCACTACATCCTGCACTTTCGTTGTCCTTGTCTGAAAAATAACTGAATTCTGGAACTGTCGAAAACAATGAACGCATATTTGAATAAAACACACAGATTTGTTTCAAAATGACCACACAGAGTAGATAGAGAGTAGATAGATAGCAGAGTATGGATGCATGTTAGACATGTGCAGTGTCAGCCAATAATAAACCTAGAATGCACTCCTGTAGAAAGTACTCAAAATTATGGAATTGACAATATTAGAGAAGTGGTTGATAAGTTCTGAGCCTTATATCATGTACATAGAAAGACTTGACCTAAAGTTGTTGAAATGATTTGTTTTTCAATATAATCCCCTTTCACACTGATACACTGAGTTTCGTAGAAATCCTTCTCTTGGCTGTCTAGAAAGTTCTCCACAGCTGCTATAACATCATTGTTTGGGTGGAAATAGGTTCACAATAGAGCTTTCTTCATATTTGGGAACACAAGGAAGTCTGATGGAGCCGATCAGGAGAATAAGGCGGGTGCTGCAGGAGTTCAAAACCATATTCGTGGATTGTTGCCATGACAATGATTTGTGCACTGGCACATTGTCCTGATGGGAAAACACACTTTTTCTCAGGTTTCCAGGTCTCTTAGTCTTAAATTCATCCCTGTAATTGCTTCAAAAGTGCAACATTATATGCTCTGTTTATTGTTTTCCTTTTGGAAGATAGTCCCACCATGATGGCAACCTGAGAACATGGACGTAACCTTTCCAGGTGATGGGACAGTCTTTTCCTTCATTGGTCATGTTGGTGGTGGCTGTTTTTATTGTTGTTTGGACTCAGGCTGAAATTGGTTTCATCCATTGTCAGGAATCATTGCAAGAAACTTTCTGGATCAGTTTCAAACAGAGCTAGAATATCACGAGACATGTGCCTGGTATCTTTTTTGACCTGATGTCAGCTTTCGATAATAGAATGTACTCTCTCCTGGGAAAGGCCTTCTGAACAAGATATATGATGCTCAATCATTTGCTAGTCGGTCATCACCATATCTTGGGATTCTCTGGATCATTTCTGGTGATGGTGGCATAGGAAGGGACATCCTTCCCTTGTGTTGTACTTGTATTTTCATGCTTGATGTTTGGTGTTAAGCCCTCTTTTCCCTGCAAATACTTGATCACTGCAAGTCACTCAAGTTTGTCCATTTTCTTGACTTGTCACAGCAAAACAATTTGCTCAAGTGACTAAAGTTTTCGTATATATACAACATGTAATGTCCTCGACAAAAGAACAGCCTCAGTGGTCTAGTGGTAGAATGGAAGGTTGGCAAGTTTGATCGTCGGCACCAACATAGCAAAAGACATGAAAGATGATACTTGTTGTTACCCTGGCTGGCACTCAGCATTAAGGGGCTAAAATAAGGACTGGTCGGCTCAGAGTGAGTATATTCAGCACACACACTCACATGCATGCATGTCGCTATATAAGTGCAATAATTTTGGACGTGACATTAAACCACATTTCACTTCACGTCACCTCAACAATAGATTTTTCTATTACGCAATTCTGTCTATGTGACAACCTTCATATGAACATATGTACATTAGGAGTGGTCGGGTAGCCTAGTGGTTAAAGCGTTCGCTCGTCACGCTGAAGACCTGGGTTTGATTCCCAACATGGGTACAATATGTGAAGCCCATTTCTGGTGTCCCCAGCTGGAATATTGCTAAAAGGGTGGTGTAAAACCATACTCACTCATACATGTCATATGTACACAATGTATATTAGATCCCTTTTCATGCCATTTACACCCTGTGAATTAAGTTGAAACGGAAAAATTAAAAACAAAGGTAGATCAAAATTAATAATGCTAACATAATAAACATGATAAACTGGTGCCTGCTAAAAACTGTTCAACCAAAGGCTATTCGTGAAAATAAGCATGTGAAAACGCCAACCATTTCTCAGTTTATTCAATGCGGGAGTGAGTGAGTGTGATTTTAAGTGAACACTTTAACCATGTTAATCACTAGGCTACATCTTTATCCTCATGATCCTTATTCAATGATATAGCATATAGAGATTATATATCACTGAGAGGAGCTTATGAACACTAGATGATCCCATCCAGCGATGTCCAGCATCCAGAAATTGGCACTAGTCCTGTAGTCCTTGCCAAACTGCCCAATAGTAAAGGTATCATAAGGACTAGTAGAAATTTGCCATTTTTACAGGTTTTGCTATATGTTATCATTATAAGGACCAATGGACTGAAACTTTTGGCTTCTACCGCTGCCCATCAACCCTGTTTCTATGATGAAGTTCTAGGGTATGGTTTTGTTGGTGTAATTGAACATTAATATAATAATTGTGTCAAAAGGTATTGTAAAGTGTTTGGAAACTTTTTGCGCTGAATTCTAAAATAACTAATGTACAATTATTAAATCTGTGATTAAGTATGTTACATTGGTTAGGTTTTATTCTACCATGACCATGTTGATAACATTTTAGAATTATGCACTTTGCTTGGTCCTCCAGTGGTATAGAATCTACAGAAGACCATGATTTTGCTGATTTTGCACATTACCATGATTG